GGGGGGGGCAGATTTTCAATTGCGTTTTGGCTAGAAGGTATTATGGTGAGAGCCAACTTCCTTATGTTTTACATTGGCCACTGCAGCTATATGTTTGTTCAAGGCAAGCAAGCAATCCTATGCTAGCATGCGTCAAAGACAGATGTTTGATATAGGCTGTAAGTTTTTTCCATATGCTGGTCAACGGTGCGGATATAGCATCTTGAGACCATCAGTTTCAAAGTATTAATCAATATTGTGAAAATACTAATGCTTCTTCTGTTTGATACCTTGACTTCCGGTTAAGCAGCGGCATTTAAGGCTAGTCTATATCCGGGTTTACTTCCGTCTGCGTTCGGAATTGCTACCTATCGATGTTTTGCATTCTGACAAAGAGAAAATAATATCCCATAGGAACAAATGCATGTGTCAGTTAGCTTGTGCTGCAGATAACTTCCTTTTGTTTTTCGCGAGCCATTGTGACCTTGCATCTCGCACAGCAACTCTCAATACCAGGCCGCAGTGAGGCAAGATGGCATTGCCACCCAAATTTGGGGTTTTCGCAGACGGGAGATCCGGGTTAACTCCTATAGCATCAAAGTTCCCTTCCATAGGTTTTTCGAGCCCGCTCCCGCCCGAGGCGGCGGATAACGCGAGATATGAAGAGTATCAGCGCAGACTGCTACATGGCTTTACGTAGGTTTCAAGCGCATCTTTATGCGATTAACCTCTTCTTGTCCTGTCCAAGAACGATCACCTGCTGATTCATTTCTCAGTACCCGCGAACTGTCAAGCATGGATGTTATCACAACTCGACCTCTCAAGAGAAGCACGCTTTTGAACGGCATCCATCCTATTTTCGCTAAGTCGAGGTGGGAGAAGACTCCGTCCCCAGAACATGAGAGACTGAACCTGTATGCTCTTCCTGACTGGCCAGGGCTCTCTGGCGACTGTAAGCACAATGTATACAGACAATTCAATGCAAGCCTGATTGGAAAACGCTAGGGATCGCGGACAATGAGATTGTATGGAAGGCAATTTATCCCAGCCTACAAATCGCCACTAGGGTCCTCGCGAGTGTTCATCTATTAGCATGGGTAAGCCCTCACATTGAATATGGAATTTCCTTCCACTGACCGTCCAGTTCGCTGCTCTTCTAGCTCCGGGGAAAACGAAAATTCCCATCGAGAGGATACACAGAGGAGATTTCTTCGACCCAGCGTTCGTAGAGCTTGATAACATGTGGTCTTTCACACCAAAGGTTCCATTCGACGAGGCACTTCAAAGTTTGACGAGACAGCGACTTGATCGAATTCTGGAGAATTTGATGGGCTCTGGTGAGCTTACGTTTGGATTCAAACACCAATCGATTGATCCTTGGAACAATATCCCGGCTTGGGAGTTCAGGTATGTGTCTTGAAGTCTCTTGCAATGACCGACCGGAGCTGATAATGCCACAGTCAAATAGGAGTGACGCAGTTGTTCAACAGCAGGACAGTCTCCATCTTTTTGGGTTACAATTTGGCAGAACCGTAGGTATTGAGAGCGCCCTTCGTTTCGCTCTTAATCTTCCCGGTACCTCTGAGGCTCTGATACCTCTGGTCATCTCCCCGGATTATGGCAATTGCTGACACCCCTGCTACTCAGTCTTCTGAGGAATGATCTGTCTGATGCCGAACGAATGGGTTGTGAATGGAACTTCGCAAGCGTCCTTCTTCATGAAATCTGCGTGAGTAATTCATCTTCATCATCTACCCGGCTAATAACGAGGTAGCACGCTGTATGGTACGGATACTGCTTAGAGTATCCTGGCCAGCTGCTTGAGAAAAACGAGCCTTACTTTAAGAATGTAAGTGGATGTACCGGCTATGATCACCACATATCGACGGCCTTGCACACATAACTAATCTCGATTTTATGACCAACAGGAACCGCTCGCGGAGGTCAGTAGTACTTTTCCCATATAATGAGGAGTCTGACAGTACAAAGTTAGGGTATGTGATGGAGCGTGAGGTGTTTGGCGGTGTTAGTGGGCTCATGCTACGGGGTACTTTTTTATGGTAACGTCTCTCTTTCATTTGTCTCCTCTGTCCGTCTCCGTCTAAACACTCATTCCTCGATCATCGTAGTCCCCTCGGCTATTGGCTCAGCACCGAAATTATAAGCCTCGATCACTGCGAGAGAACAACCCAGACCATCTTGATAAACCCCCCACTCTCTAATATCCAAACCTACTTCCCTATAAAAGCCGAATTCTTCGAAAACATTCAACAGGAGAGCTTTTGGGTCAGTAAACTTTTTCCCCCCAACTCGAAGATATACTGACTCTTCCCAGAGAGTGAGCATCGGGATGTTGGGAATGTCAGGTCTGCATGCCCGGACTTTGGCTGAGGGAGCTCAAGTCACCCATTCTGGGCTAGGGCCTAACAACCGAGTGAGAGGGGTCGCGGTGAAATACTTAGCAAGGATCCAGGAGCCCGATGTGCGATTGAGCGAGTTCAGACGAAAACTCAACGAGTATTTCAAAGCCTCAGGTCACAGGATGAGCCTCGAAGAGCTCGAGAACTTCCGATTCGGGAAAGCGATGCTGGACAATGCCGTTTGGGAAGAAGCGTTCTGGCTCACAAGCGTAACGCTGCGAGGATTTCTGAGCACGGTGATGGACACCTTAGAGTATACGCTCAGTGGTAAGAATCGAGCTGCGAGAGCTGACGCTCTGGACAAGATTGATGCATTTCTGAAGGCCGCCTCGGCGAAACACCTCAGTCAGATCAACAGCTTCCTTGCGCTACCGCACGAGCTCAGGGGCCAAGATCGCCACGACGACTTGTTGCGCTGGAACCGGGGTGCCAGAATCTACGCGAGGGGATGCTACAGCCTGGCCTTTTCAGACATCGATTACACGAAGACGGCTGCTTTCGAGCAGTCCATCCTCGATCTCGAGTTCTGCCGTATGCTCCTGTACCATCCTATCATGAAAAGCCTCGTGCCAGGCCACCAGTCCGAAACTGATTGCCTTTCCGCCGCCAACAGACTGAAGGATGCAGGAGATATCGAAGCGTTCAAGGCTGCCGTTGCACCAACCATCACCTCGCCCGATTGCTCCCTGTTCGCAGACGCCGCGGTGAGGGTGATTCAAAGCGAGCTACCGTTAGACCAAGATACATATACACAGGCGACCCGGGGGCATGGTACGCTAACGAAACTTCGAGCCTTTGTTCTAAGTGTACACGGCGATAATATGCTGAATTGGCTAATAACACTGGACAATTTAATTCAAAGGGCAGAAGTGGTTCTGGATCAGGCTCGTGTAGCCGCATTATCAGCCAAGCCATAAGGCGAGTCAATATGGTGGTGGACGCTACACGATATTATGTATATAAATATATATCGATCATCAGCTATAAAAAAAAGCTTAGAGAGGCGCTATGGAGCTTGGATTAGGCTGGATGGCATCTTGACAGGCGGGGAACGGAACGGCTATGAGCAATGAGCTTCAACAAGTACGCATCTTGAGTAATCACAGAACTACCTATAGTGGCTATAATGTCATCCACGTCTCCGGAGTTTCGAGCGATCATTAATTGAAAGAAGTGGGCCATCGTGTCACCTGGGCGCGGCCTTGACAATAGCCGGCGCTCGTACTTTTCGCGACTTGAGATATGTCCGCGGATCCCCAAGGCACCCGGAGCACACGTGTCATGTAGGTAGGTGTCTTAGATCTCGCGGGTAGCATGGTGGACATATATGAGGCCCTCTCGTGCTCACTGTCGCTCCCGACGCTCGCTTAAATACAGGGGGCGGAAGCGAGTTCGAGGCTGTTTCATCGACTTCAATATCTCACGCAAAGCTGAAAAGGACTTTGATATCAGACCACAGTCAAGCGTGAAATTGCGCAATGCATTTTACGTGTGGTGCGCCTATCGGGCGGAGTAGCGAGAGGGAGGGAGTGAAGATCGACATGCAGGAGCAGCGAGCTGAGTGTTGACGTGACTAATATAAGCCATGTTGTTTGTTATTGTTACATAGTGGGAAGGATTGAGGCTCGACGAACACGCCATATATTTCGGAAGTGGCAAGTGGTGGTTGTACGTGACGGGTGCAGATATGGAGTGATGTAGATGGATAGGTGGGTGGTTGAAGTGAGAAAAGTGATGGCTTTTCCTGGCTTCTTGATACATCTTGTTTGTTTCTGGGGCCTCTTCGAATGGTCCTGACGGCATCTCGCCTGGTATTCTACTCCCGGTGAACTTTTGGTTCCACGGGGTTTTGAAAGCATGTTATGGTACACTTTTTGAAGATCAAGATAGTCCATGGTCTGTCCGTCTATGGGCGATCGAGAACGATAAAAATAAATACATGCAAGCATCTTAATAGCAGCTGTATCTCGCTTAACTTGCTTGGGGTTTGTTCACCCCAAACCCCCCCCCCCCCCCCCCCC